GTTTGTTTTAAAATCAGGAGCTACACAAGCACTTTTCTTTTCAGAGGAACATTTAGTGGGAACATGGGGTCTCTGGGAAGTTGGGAAATCTCTGAGTGAGTGGGCGTAGGAAGTTCAGTCAGCTTCTATGGTTTAATTGTATTGACTGGGACAAACAAACAGAGGGCTTCTGTGAAGATAATCGGTACAATTGAGGGTGGGCTTTGCATAGAGAATACAAGAATCTCATTTAGCTGTACATTCATGAAAACAGAGGAAGGCAGGGTTTTGAGAGGAGGTACATCTGTTTTTGAAATAATCACCCTTGACTCCAAGGATCACAAACAAGGAGGTATCCATGTCTGAGGTTGAACAGAGAGCTGCACAGATGTCCTAGCAGAAATAACTTTTTGTACAAGTTTGCATTAGCCTTTGTGTAAAGTTGTGGTTCTGAAAAAGTTTCTTGTGATAGTTCTTGGTATCAACACTGGATACCCCTACCCCTACTTCATCATCTTCTGGGTTTATTTATTTGTTTTTGGTTATAGCTTAATGGAGGTGACTCTAATATTATTGCAATGAATTTCACCATTTATAAATCTCATGAGGAAGACCAAGGAGGTGACTGCTCATGGATTAAACAACTCTTTCCTCTTCAAAGAGCTGCCTGCAGTAGTAGTCTCTGTCTATACAACTGTGAATACTTGGTAAGATTGTGAATAGTAGCTGGCAATTCTTCCACTTGTCTCATCAGTTTAAAACTTCTAAAGCTCTAATCACAGCACAGAGAATCAATTTTCTTATTTGGAGCCATGTTAGACCTTGAAGTACTCAGTTTTGAAACAGAGTGCAGTGCATGGCTATTCTATGAGACCCTCCTCTGCTTTGGTAGCTCTTGACATCAAGTGTAATTGAGTAGATAAATCATCCATACTTCCCTATGAGTAGTTACTGCACCTTTTATCTTCCTGTAGAACGTGTTGTAAAAAAATCTGACAAATGTGTGCTCGCCTTGGCTACAGTTCACAGAAATTTTGTCTCCAATTTTTCTTTTGACAATGTGGAGAGACTTTTTTTTCTTACAACACATGCTGATGCAAAGAGAATTTGAGAACTTCTCTCTTTTTCTTTTGCCCTCAGTTTAATTTGTGATCATCTTTCCCTCCACCCTGAAAGATGACTAGAAATTGGTCTTCTGAACATTGATGTTTGCTGACATTTTAAAAAGAATAACTGTCAAGACTGGTGGAATTTCCCCCTATATTTAAGATATTCTTTAGACTGAATGATTCTGAACTTGCCTTTCATGTTTGGTATTTTTAAAGCTACTGTAGTGCTAGAGGCCGGCTGAAGTTCATTTTAAAGTGACAGGTGGTCTCTAAATTAAGAGCTCTTAACAATATTTTTTGCTTTTTTTCATTTTGATAACAGTTGTTACTAAATATCTATTATAGAAGATTTTTAGGAATAGGTGATAATTTTCTTAGCACCTATTTGGAGGTTTTAGAGATGGGTTTATTTTTAAACACAAGTAAGTTACCATTCTTTCTGTTTTCTGGATATTTCCGCCTCAGGGATGAGTTGGGTGCATATTATACTCATGGTCTTTGACAATTGTACAACTTTGAAAAACAGGGTACATAAAAGCCTCCCCCAAACCACAAAGAAAAAGTAATAATGAGACATAGACTGAGGTATACTGGAATTCAAGATGATAGAAATAGGAGGTAAAATAATCAGGAACCAAGTTTATTACCTTTTTCCCCGCCACTAGGGGAAAAAGAACGGATTATTTATTCTTTGTAGTTAGCTCAAGGTCAAATAAACCACTCCTATCTAGGAGTGCTTGTTGCTGGGCACCCCCAAGTTTAGGATTTGTTGGATTGATGGGTCTCAACTCATAATGGGAAGGGCCTATGATCATTTTACACTACATTTCAATAAAAGAAGGCAACATTCCATGCATTATTTTGCAAAAAGGTGTGATTCTTTGATTAAGACAGAATTCTAAGGACTTGTGTTGTGATCCTGTTTTTGAGATCTGCAATGAACCCTATGGGCTGTCTCTCTCCTCTCCATTAGGGTACTATGGGATCCTTGGTCATATGGACCAAGGAGGGGTTTTATTTTTACTATTGTTTACAACGTGCAGCTCCTTTTTCTGCTGAGCCTCACTCAAAGATGACAATGGCCTCTGTAGTCTCACAGCGTGTGGCTTAAGCAGTACTGTGGGATATGGAATACTGCTGCCTCTGAATCCAGAAAGAACTACCAGATACCATGCTTCCTTCTGGACAATGGGAAGCGTAAAATGCAGTGGTTTACACTTTATTCAGATTGGGAATCCCATGTGCTCTGGCACACAGGATCTTGATATACCTTACTAGACAGCAGCTTCCTGGATCTTCATAAGATTCTCTTGTCACCCTTGGAAATACATAACTCTTGTTAAGGATAGTTTACCCCTTCTTGATCATCCTGCCCAGTTTGCAGGATGATATTATTATTGTAACTGGACGCCTTGTGCTGAAGGATTACCAGGTGACCCATGTCTCTTTGGAGTCTATTATGAAAGAGGATAAGGGTATTACCATGGCCCTGGACAAACTTGTACATAGGGGTGTCATCATAGAATATGGCCAATGTTTAAATTTACAAAAATTTTATAGAAGATACATTACCATTAATCCTTCTGAAAACAATCCCTCTTGTTTCAGACATACTTGTTTCATCATTCTTGCCACTTTCTGAAGCAGTTCTAGAAGTCCTCTTTTGTGAGCATCTTTAGTAGTGCTATGTTGTCTTCCTCAATATCCTGAACAGATTCAAAATAATTACCTTTCCTGATTATTTTGCCTTTTGGGAAGAGCCAGAAGTCACTCAGTCCTAGATCTAGTGAGTAAGGTGAATGAAGACACATCGTAAAGTTTTTATTTGACAGAAATTGCGATAAAGATTTTGAATCAACTTTTCTGTCTCCATCCAGATCTATGAGATTTCATGGTTCTGACACTTCCTGTATCAGTGAGTTCTAGATCTCAAAAATCTTCAGGAATTAGATCGCATTAGGGTGGCAACTTCATTGTTTGTCAAATTGTTCATTTTAATTTCTTTTATCGGTACAGTTTGAGTGGTACCTTTGTGGGATGCTCATGTATTTCACCCCTGGAAGTGCCATATTCAATAAAGCAGCCTCAGAACTCCCTGGGGAATCAACCACCCACTCCCAACTTTGCCATCATTATGCTAATTACATGCACCTGGCTTCTGACTTTTAAGTGTCACCATCTGGCCATTTCATGCTTTTATTGGCAGAAAGTTTTTTTCCTGTCAATAATAATATACTTTAGTTTCTCTGAAATATAGAAGATATGCTTTTCTTTTTCCAGTAATCTCAGGAAGCAAATTTTATTTGTCATCATGGACCCTTAGGATGTTGCTCCCATCCCTTTGTTGTGTTCAAGGGTTGCATTGAAGGGAAAGTATTCTCTTTGATATAGGCATTGGGAGTTCTCGATAATGTTTTATATATAGCTTTATGTAAAATACTTTTTATAGGTATTATGAGTATATTATGGGTAACACCATAAGTTTATTTCCTGATTCATTTGTTATTTTATAATATTTTGAAAATTTTTCCTGATGTCCAATGCAATAATAATAATTTTAATGTCATTAATGTTAATGGTAGGCAGTATTTATTTGTGTCAGATAATCTTTTACCATAATCATTTTCTGTTTTTAAGACCCTCCTCTATAAATCCAGCTATCTACTCTCCATCTTGGTAGGAGATACACAGGGGTTACAGAAACACTGTAACCTACCTAAAGATTCTACAAATTATATGTGTTTTTAGTTATATCCTGACTTAAGGACTGGTGTCCTAAATGGTCATATGTGTTGTATATATTATTAAGAAAGTCTCTAGTTTGAAATTTTCTTCTGTTGAAGCTATTATAAAAAAGCAGGATCAAAGTGCCAGTCAAATAATTGGCCCTATATTAAGTATCCTTCAGTGTTATTCTTTCCAGACGCAGTCTTTTCACAGCTCATTACATCCTATCTTTTTTTTCTCTTTTTAAATTAATATCTTTCTGAGCTCAGTGCTGAACTCACTCAAGTCAGAAGTTATGAAAAAGTGTAATGGGGTTTTCATTAGAAGACATGTTCCCGGCAAGTCATTTAAATGAAGGAGTTGATCATTTAAAACCCAGAAAAGAATAGATCATTTTGAATAAAAAAGTTAAATTTAAATGTTTTCCGTGATCTTTATAGTCCTTCAAACTTATGCAAAAAGCTATTGGTTTAAAATCAAGGGCTGTCACATTATAAGTGACATAGCCAGAACTAGAGTTGGTCATCCTTTCTGGCTTCCTTTAAAATTAGCATTGTTTCTACTTTATAGAGAAGTGTTTCCTGTTTATTTTATTATAAAAATATTTCATGTTAATCAAGGAACACTTTGCAAAACTAAGAAAGTCAAAATTACTGTTTTTTCTGACATTCTATGGTAAATATTTAACAATTTGAGTTTTTTCTATCTCTGAATGTCTTCACACTCGAATCAAAACTTAAATCATCAGTCTTGTGATTGTAAGTAGAAAAGGAGGCCCAGCATTTCAAGCTAGTATCCAAATTCATAAATACAGAGAACCTCTTTTCTCTCACTTTCTTCTTTTTCTAGAGCTGTTGAACATATAGATTCCTATATGTGTGTACACAAACATCACATGCACATGCCCCATAGCTATACACATGCACACATTTAAACACACATGCACGTATATCTTAACATGCAGGTGTGTAAGTGTATGAAGGCACACATGCCTACACGCAACACACAATACACACATGAATGTGCCCACACACATAGGACAACCTCTGTAGAACACATCATTGCTACAGGATTCTGGGTCTCACCTCTAAATCCTCTCTTTGTAAGGACTTGTATAGAGCATCCTGAAGGGTTCCTCTTGTTCCCACTTTGGGTCTAACTAATCCCTTTCCATTTCTTATTCAGGAAAAATCCAGGATCTGAAATACTATGAAGATTCCGGAGGAAGAACCAAGCAAATATCTGCAGTTTACAGGAGTCAGCTCTTCAGATATTTAAATTTACATATGTCTTTTGCTCTAATCTGCTCTAATCTTTTTTTTTGTTTTATTTCTTTAAAATTTTTACATCTAAGGCCATTCTTGATTTAAAGAAAAGTTGAGAAAATACTATAGAATTCTCAAACACCTAATACACTTTATCTTATTATTGATGTCATTCATCGGTATAGTGCATTTGTTAAAATTAATGAACACTTATTCTACATAGAGAAAATGCATAGTTTATTCAGGTTTCCTTAGATGCTGCCTAAGATGATACCTGCTCTGGTATCCCATATGAGATATACCCTAAGATCTAGAAACTCAGAGGTTTCTCTTTGATGTGACTGTCTCTTATACTGTAAAACCTTGGATTGCGAGTAACTTGTTCTGTGAGTGTTCTGCAAGATGAGCAAAGATTTCTAATAAATTTTAACTTGATAAACCAGTGATGTCTTGCAGTACTAATAGTCCATTATGCTGAGGACCACATGATCACAACTGAGCTAATCGTTCTCTCTTTCACTGTGAGATTGTGGGTGATGCCTCCCAAGAGCAAGAGATTATAAAAGAGATCTTGTCTTCAGGGGAGAAGAAAACAGGGAAGGAATCCCTCATTTCAAATGAGAGTAGGGAGAGGTATAAAATGTGGGAAACTGCAAAATTTTGTAGAAACACCATTGGAAAAAGACTGTAGCAGCTCAAGGGATGAATCTGTTTAAGACAATTCAATGGTACATTTCAACAAAGTCCTCAAAAGAAGGTTAAAGCGAGTATCATTGGCTAGGTTCCTTGTTAAAGCTGCATGAAAAGAAAGATTCCTTTGAGCCAATAGATGACTGTGATTCCGTTAATGAGGGTGAAAGTCCTGTTACACAATAACCCTCCTCTCTCTCGTCTCACACCAGCCATCGAGGTTTTTGAAGGTAGTTGCAAGTTAACTATTTCTCTTTTTATTTGGATTTTATTTATTATTTTATATTCTATTGCCATATTATAATCATTTTATATGAATATTTTTGGGTTGTCAAACAAATCATCTGAGTTTTCATTGTTTTTATAGGGAAATTTGCTTTGATATACATGTGCTTTGTATTACAAGCAAGTTTCCAGAAAAAAATTATGCTTACAAACCAAGATTTTACTGTACTTATTTTTTCCCTTTATTTCCATCACTATGGGCTCATGGATATCTATTCGGTTTTGAGTGATAGTCTAGTACTGCTTTGTTTATTTATTTTTATTCAGTGTTCACTTAATAACTATTCAGTTATTTCAAGTTTGTGTCTTTGACTTCCTGATATCAACATTTTTTTTTAAAAAATGAGGTCATTCTTACTTTCTGGTTCTGCCAGATGCTCCAGCCTCAACTTATGCATTTCCTGCCTTAGTCCTCACTGCCATTTCTCTAGTGAGCCTTAATTTAACAAATAGCATCAGAAAGCAAAATGTGGGTGCTGGGGAGTATTGCTTCTGGGTGTTTTTACCTGATATGCGTGTGTGCATAATAACCAAGGTTTAAATACATGGTATAATATTTCTATATGCAATCTTGTCTATGTGAAGCTAAACAGGAATCTTATATTGATGCTGTCTGTCTAATCTATCACCATATGTATCATCTGTTTTAGCTTCCTTCTTTTGTTGTCTTATTAGCTGCTTTTATGGATGTGAAACCTGTCTGTCATTGCACAACATGGGAACATGATGACTCTATTTAGTACCAATGTGTTCTATTCTTGATAATCAATGAGAGTAGCTTTTAAGTGTTTGCAACACAAAAATTAAGTGTTTGAGGTATTGCAAATGTTGTTTTGACCTAGCTGTTTCACATTATATATGCATTTCAAAACATCACGTTGCTCATGACAAATATAAGTAATTTTTATTCACTGATCCAGTAATTAATGGATGTAATCTTGCTACTACCATCCCTTTATTTAAGTTCTTGTATACTTGTAGAACACCTCATATTATTATGGGTTAAAAACTGGTGGTCAACTTAACACCAGGTGAATTAAATCAGCATGGTGCTGAGCATAGATGGCCCACCTGAGGAAAGTTGCTGACATAAAAAGAGACATGGAAAAGAGTGAGGCATTGTGGATTTCTCTAAATGCTACTGTTTTGTGCCATTGGTTCCCCTGGAGGAGCCTGTCATGCCTAGCATCCCCAGTGTGAGTTCCACCATTGTCATCAGAGGAGCTTGGGACCTTGCTGGTGAGAGTGGCTGTGGGTCACTTTGGGGGAACTCTGGTCCTTACTTCGAGTATCCCTTCCTGGCTCTGGAGGGGAAGATGTGTGCTGTTTAATCTCCAGGACAAACTTGTCATGCTGGCTTTCTGTCATGTACTCAACTGTTCTTATCGTTGGAGGAGCTCTGGATCTTTATGTCACTGAGGTGCTTTTCAGGACAGCCCTGGTCTTTATTTTGAGTATGACTTTTCAGCTCCAGTGTAGAACACTCAACCTAGCAGCACAGCTCCTTCACTCTGCTGACATAGACGTTAAAGCTTCCATCGCTGACCTCTGGGCCTTCCCAGTGCGGATCCGTAACACAGAGGCATGAGTCCTTTTTGTGGGCTCTAGACCTCCAATTGGACTCATTGAGGCATTGTCATGGGCTCTAGGTCTTCATCTGGACTCAGGTAGGGCATTGCTGTGGAATCCAGGCTACTGGCTGAATATTCTGGGTCTTTGGTGTTGTGGATAGATTTCCTGCACTTTCTTGTATTAAACTCTGGGTGACCATCATAAAATAATATTATAAATTCTGTGTTCTGATTCTAATTGTTCTCCTCACAACCCTGACTACAGCATATATGTTAATTTATATTTGAGGAATATGCAATTTCTTTTGCCTTTAGTCTTATGAACTCTACTCCCTTCCATAGTGACTTGGACTGGTGCCTCTTGCCAACTCTGTTCAGTAAGGCCGTAATATAATTAGTCTGTTGGTCTGTATTCCTTCTTGGGATTCTTTGAGTAGATTTTTCATTTCACATACAATATTAGTTTAGGAGACTTACCATATGTTATCAACTTTATTCAGATGAGAAAACTCATAAATTACTGTTTTATTTGTAATTTATGAATTATGTATCAGTTGTAGACTTTTCCCACATTATTTCTATTTCTTTGTTTCTTTGTGTACTTTGCTGATTTAAAAAGATGTTATTCTTTTTCTTTATTGTGAGAGTCATTTGAAGTTATTATGGTTTTACTTTTTAGATATATTGCAAATAATTGTCCTATGTTTGTTATTCTTTAAACTTTGGTAGTTTTATAGTTTTATACAATATCAATTAAATGACACTAATTTTCTGTAACTATATAGTTTCACTGAAAAAATATAAGTGATAATGGTCACTCAACTCCAGAATTTTAAATTTTTGCATAAAAATTCCCAGAGAAAATTTTCTGCAAGCTATGACTCTTTCCAGAAGAAAATATCCATTTAGTTCACATATACAAAGTTGTCTATAAAATTTTCTAAATCTATTGACTTAGATTAAGAACCCAAATCTAGTTCATCCCTTTATTTCATTGTTAAGAAATACTTTGACACTCAGCAATTGATTGACCTTCTCAAAATTCTGCAGCAAGTTAGTGCGAGTTAATGCTACAACCTAGCTCCCCTGAGTTCTAGTCAAGGGTTTTACCTCTACAACATGTTACTTTCTTAATTATTTGAACAACATGGTGATTCAGAAAATTAACTGATTATAGCTTAGTAATGGTTTTTGTTATTTTGCTTAATCACAGATGACTGTATTTGAAACATTACAACCATCACACAAAAAGACAATTACTACATTTTAGTCCTAAGGTGAATTGCAAAGGTGAATGAAAAAATGTATACATATGTCAATTCTTTCTTGCCAATGAAATGATACCTCTAATTTCTCTGTTATCAGTTTGTTCTATTAGAATCAACTTCTTATTGTTTACAGGGAATTTTAAAAAGGTATTTTGTTTTGTTTTGAGGCAGGAATAATGTTTGGCAGAATGTAGCTCTGTATACTCACGTGTTCAGTAGATGAATGATGCGTGTATTTATACTGTGTACATGTCATGTGTGCATCTTTGAAGGTATGATGCACCATCTTAACAAATGATGGAGAAATACACTGCAAAGTGGAAAGCAATAGAAAATAATTAAGGCATATATTATTATTAATTTTTATTTAAAGTATAAAGAGTCAAAATGTTTTATTAAAGTTACTTAATAACTCATGCTCCCACATGTAATAAGATTTTGTTCCTCCAATAATGTTATGTTTGTGCTACTATAGTGAAGTTTTTATTATATTCTTGTAAGGTGCATAGGAAATTATAGATTTGATTTACAAATTTTTATATGTTCTCTTTCATGATAAAACATAATTTTTAATAAATGTGGATTTATCCTTCAAAAAGATAAAAAACATTTTTATTTTTGATGTTTAGAGTAATTGAATAAGCCAAATCTCATTATAATTTAGTATGTGAAGTAATCTTATGCATCATAAGCAAAATATTTACAGTTTCAGAAAAGAATGCAGCCATAGGGAAAATATGCATTAAGGAGTGTGAATTGAAGTTAAAGATCAATGTATGTTTTTTTCCTAATTATTATGTCTAAGATGCAATTAATCCTGATTAGTTCCTCTTGCAGATTCAGAGTAGCCTATACCCTTCGGTGTCAGTGTAATAGTTCAGACACCTGGATTGGAGCAGCTGTTAAGCAGCTTTGGTTGTGATCTTGCACAGGGGGACGTGACTGCCCCCTGGAGGAGCAGAGTGGTACTCATATTCCCTCTTTAAAGATTCTATTTCTGTGTCAAGGGTCCATATTTATTTATTAGTATGTGTGGAAACACAACCACATCGTGGTATAAACTGTGAACCTCTGCACAGCAGGTCTCAGGGTTTAGGGGTTGGTAAAGGTGAATTCAGGTTAAATGTGAATTTGAAAGTGAGAAAGTGAAATGATATCAACCTTTCAGAGGCGAGTAGACCAGCAACAACATTATAGCCAAACTATGTATTGGAGATCATTTAATCTTCGCAGAACATTCTACCGAAAAATAAACTGATTTGCAGAGAATGAAGTGATATGAACAGTAATACGTGATTTGTTAAAGTCAAAGTTAGGATTCAACACTGTAACTTGCATGTCTGATTAAAAAATTGACTCATCGAACAAGTGTTGAATTTAATAAGCAGTTTAACGTTTTTAATTTTTATTTTTCAGATAATTGTACCTATTTTGGGTAAACACACTGATGTTTCAGTGCATTTTTACAATGATCAATTTGGGATATTTAGGTTGTCTGTCAATTGAAACGTTCATCATTTCTATGTAATAAGATCATTCAAGTTTCTCTCTTCTATTTTGAAAAATATATGATGCAACATTGTTGTCCCTAATTCCCTTCTATGTAATACAACACCAGAATTATTCCT